TTTGTCTCGGTCGTTCATCAACCCATCCGTAAGCTGAACACTCTTCGTCCCACGCGCTCTTCACACTATCCGTATACTTGTTTTCGCTTTTGACTGTTTGACACATTGCAAGGCTTGTTTCACCTTTGGCACTACACGGACGGTGTGGTTTGTTCGAACGCTGAGCACACATATGAAGACTCAGTGACCTAGCTTGACTTCGGAATTGAGGTGGCCGACGTGGTAGAACATCTAATTCGGAAGCATTTTATCTAAGGACGTCCGTTTCCAGACATAGAACACATCTATACAGCCGACCCTTTCGGAGCTTATTCAGGACACAGTATGCTTCACGACTAGCAAAGAACTCCTCAAACGCTAGTTTATCTGATACAGACAAGAAAGCAGTGAAACTAAGATCCGAACAAAAATTGTTTCGCCACAAGAACAAACCTCTTAGCGGTGAAGCTCCTCTGCTGTCGTGGACGATTACTTTATTTGTCAGTCACCCGACAAAGCGGTTGTCTACCTCCCATTCTTTCTGGGTTTCTGTTTACTGTGTGTTTCCAATGTAAATGAATGCAAGTTTATCTAGTGTTTGTTCACCAAGACTTGTCCCAAAAATACAGAGTTTGAATTACACGCTAGATGGCTGAAGGAAATTTTGGCAGATTTTTAGTAAACAGGTTGTGAACCATTCACCATCAGTTTGAAGCATTCCTCTACTGAATTTGATATGAAACCAGATTAAAAAATATGGGAACGGGAAACTCAGAGTTTAGTTCCTAAATGGATAAGTAAGAAAGTAGCGAAAATGCGGTGATTTATTTGTTAGCCGCTGAGCTACAGCATCGACCGAGGATTTGGGAACAGAAGGAATAGCCCAACCCAAACATGAACGAGACGACCATTCTGCTGAGAGTTTATCAACTGAGTAGGGGTCTATTGGATACTGAAGTCCTTACCTAAATGAGCCATCTCGAAAGTACTTGGAAGACCTTAAACCCTTGAGAAATTTCTCGTGCCTATTTAAAAGTGATCGTTTTTTGGTAACAGTATTTAACATCATTCTTTGCGGAACAACTTTTGATAAACTTCCCTACTCATGAGTAGTCAAAGTAAACTGAAAGAAAGTCGGTGGTATGGCTACAAGTGGTCTTGGTGCTAAATCTCTTTGCCTTTATGGATGTCCAGTAAAATAGGTTCATTCTATCAACAAATTTCTTTAGGGCCATCCATGGCAGAGCCCACCATGACGCTTGCCTAGCATTGGTATGCCGAGACATTCGGTTGCTTCAGATCAGTCAAACGGTCAATGTGGCAGATGGAACTGAAATTTTCGCACCCTGAAAATAGCCAGCTGATGAGTTACTGTTCCTGTAGTCATGCGCCAGCTTCCTGAATCACTTGGCTGTTGCGAGGAGGTATAAATTGCACCACACAGGCATGGCGACACAGTTTATTACGATAACGCATCCACCCGACTGCAACACGTGATTTGACCTTGTGACATACAAGCATCGCCTGACCAACCGCCATAATTATGCATTACAACAACATTGTGAATATTCTATTAACCGCCACTGTCGGGCTCACATGCCGGACACTGAATCACTGACGTAAGCGTTAGCCATCCTAGGATGGTCCGCTAGCTATTTCTTGTTTAGTTTTATCATTTCCAACACAGATGACGACTGCAAAAAGATCAAGGTTGAAAAGTTAAGTTGGATTGTTGAACGGTCCTTGCGGGCGTTTTAGCTCTGGGAGGAACATGGGAGTCTAACCTCATGTCTCGTTTCGATAAATCCATGTTGCGAGATAGTACCCAAGATATCAATTTTTATGCAGGATCTTGGAGCTTACGTCTTCCTGCAGTGGTCACGCAGGGCTAATGAGCATAGTCCGTCGACTGACCTCTTATTGGGAGACCCGTCTGAAATAACCATGTCCAAATCGAAAAAGTAATACCGTTTTGATGGTTAAACAAAAAGCAGGGGATGATAGACCTATTGAGATGGTAAATACAATCCAGGACCCTACTTTTAGCCCTCTGGGTAGCACACAAACTCACTTTCTGCTTACCCTGGACAGATATTTAATGCCATTGAAGAGCGCAGCAAAACACATAACCTATATGCCGGATAAATGTGACAACTGTGGCGGAAGTTGCGTCGATGTGGGCTATGAAAAGATGGGATCACAAACACGGTTTGCCAACGAACCTAGAGGACCTTGAGTACAAAGGCAGTGGAAAGGCAATGTGCAAAGTAATCCTGGAATGATTACGACAACCTGGACACTGCAGGCTGCATGCAGTCCAGCGCGCCTACGAGTCTTTACCGTGTGATGAGAACCGACGATTTTACAGTTAGACAGGAAGCGGAAACGGTGTAAAACACACGTTTGCTATGTTACAAACCTGTGAGACTCAGTTAGTGAACAAAACACGAGCAGTATGAAACCGTGTTGCCTGCGCTTCAACTCTAAGTGTACCAACTGAAGAAAACAAAGTTTAAGTACTCCTCGGCACAAACGAAAATGTGCCTGGGGTTGCACTCAAATGATCGACCACCCGGTTCGGAAAGAAACGCTCGTGGATTATCACCTGTCTGTATTTTGATGCTTTTAAAAGTTTTCGTCGTAGATGCATCGTAATGTGTTCACCCCCTTACTAACTGTCCGTAAGAAACCCTACGTAAGTCAGTAATCCTGCCTTTGGGAAGCCTACAGTATGGCTCGTTTTTCCGATAGATGTTTCACGTTGAAAATAGTGTCTGGTGGGTATCAATCCAAGATATCGGATTCGCGAATGACGGTCGAAATGACCACGTGATCAATTTGGTGGCAATGAAATTGACATTACTATTCTCCTGGTGTAGATGATGCACAGAACGGAGTACTGCTCAAATGCGGGCAACCTGAAAATACCGGCCGGCAGATATCTTGAAGCTTCCGAGCCATCCGTCTTGAGAACGTAAGGAGACAATTGTTTTTGAAATACGTATTCATGAAATATGTATGTATGTATGTATGTATGTATGTATGTATGTATGTATGTATGTATGTATGTATGTATGTATGTATGTATGTATGTATGTATGTATGTATGTATGTATGTATGTATGTATGTATGTATGTATGTATGTATGTATGTATGTATGTATGTATGTATGTATGTATGTATGTATGTATGTATGTATGTATGTATGTATGTATGTATGTATGTATGTATGTATGTATGTATGTATGTATGTATGTATGTATGTATGTATGTATGTATGTATGTATGTATGTATGTATGTATGTATGTATGTATGTATGTATGTATGTATGTATGTATGTATGTATGTATGTATGTATGTATGTATGTATGTATGTATGTATGTATGTATGTATGTATGTATGTATGTATGTATGTATGTATGTATGTATGTATGTATGTATGTATGTATGTATGTATGTATGTATGTATGTATGTATGTATGTATGTATGTATGTATGTATGTATGTATGTATGTATGTATGTATGTATGTATGTATGTATGTATGTATGTATATATGAAATATGTATTCATGATGAGCCATGTGACTTCCGATCATACCAAACGGTCCACGTTGAAGAGCAGTCAGCTCTTCATTCCCACGTACGCAAATTCTCAATTTAACCTTCTCGTGTTACAGCTTGGTGGGTAGGCTGTTATGGGTGGCTGTAATGATCACTGGCATATTTTATTGCCTGTTACGGCATGTGTGGCTGTAGCAACGTTATTTTTAGTTACAATCTTGTGTGTACTATGACGTTCTCTCCCGTTTTCGAAAAGAACCATATGCTAAGCGTGCCATTTGAGGCTGATCAGGTTATCTAGATTCTCTTACTGGGTATTGGGCTCTAAACCAGAGGCAAAGAGGTGTCTGACTGATGCTGTTCAGTACAATTTGGAATTCCTACAACATTCCCAGCGTTGTGCTCAGGTGCCGTATCGTGATTCTAGGTGATAACCAATGACAATGTCGGTCCACCAATACCTGAGTCGTTTCCTGTAAGGCTCCACTCAAGCATTGCAAGGCTTACACTCCTTACTTACCGGGGCAGATCTCTAGTGGACCCCCAAACGTGCGACCTTGCTCTGCTCCTAGCTCTGCAAGGCAGAAACGATGACTGAGCTGTCACTAGTTACGACATTGTGGCTGGTGAGTAGTATGTAGTAGTGTAACGGTGACACTACTGATGGGGAGGCACGCAAGTAGAATGTGTTGTTCGTAGAATTCCGCATTTGCGTCTTTCGAAAAGGGGAGACCTGTTGCGGAATTCGTGGAGTCACTTTGTAACATTTGCTTGGATTTGAGCGAGGAATGATTGGAATTCAACAAGAAAGTTCAAGAAGACGCGTTCAGGAGAAGATGAGTGTCCAGTTTTTGTAAATAAGATGCAAATTAGAGTTTTGCTTCCCTGTCCAATGGTCTGTAACCGATCAGTTGGCAGTTCCTAATGAGCAACTCCGCAGCGAAGGCCTTCTTCCTCTCAGTAGTAGTATGTTTATGTAGTACCATTACAATATTCGCAGGTGAATGGCGATGGAGTGATACATTGTGGGCGAAAAGCGAGGCATAAAGGGTCTCGTGAATGGAAGTAGCATTCTGTCACCAAGTATCCTCCTGGGTGTGCCCTATGTTCCTTGAGAAAAGACATATGTTCAATATCAGGCGGCTATCCAACTTTGCAGAATTTAGGAACAATAAATGAGTGTATTTCGCTAATTTCGTGCAATTTGGTATCACGTAGAACATGAGGGGACTGCACCTACCTGAAGAGCCCAGAGAAGGACGAAACCTGTCGTGGGCTGTCGAAGGATCTCCAGCAACCTAATGAGTAGTACATTAGAAATGACATATTTCCGATAGATCTACCTGGTGCCTATCTACTTCCAGTCATTGTGTGAAACTAACATGAAGAGTTTTGTGCGAGAAAGAGATTCTCAAGCGTTTTTCGCCGAGATGTATCAGGAAAAGTTAGCTAAACCCTCCGAGAGATCTGTATTTTTTAAAGAGAGGTGGTTGTGTACATTTCCCGTAAAATAAAGAAAAAAGCGATTTTCAGACATCCTTTCCACCGCAATATGTCCATTTTCAAACAACTCAAGTTAGGGGGACAGGGGTGAGGTTAGGTGGGAAACATCGTGGACAGAAAATCGTTAACCTAGAATCCTGACGTGATACCATCGATCTGCTTGTCTCCCTCGACCACTGTGGAAGTTTGTCTTGGCAGCGGAGGCAGTGTGGGTTGTGGATGTTGTACTTGTACGACCGGTTCTGGTGGCCGACATATCAATTCTGTCAAGGCCACCATACTTCCGAAAATATAGGTTCCCATGTTCAAACTGATGAAGACCTGGATAGTGTAGACGGAGCGGTTAGACGAATAAGATATTTGCTGAGGCTACGGAACATTAAACAAATGATTGATGAAATGGCAGCTAACCGTAAAAAGATACACAGCAGTTACCATAACCCCCGAAAATTAAGCCAGGCCCGGACCAATGATAAGTTTAATCAGTCCCAAGCAAGTTTGAAGCAACAAGTCACAACGAACAAGTCATTTCGGCCGATCAGTTGGTTTGTTTCGCACACGCGGGGAAGAAAGCCTTCACTGAGAAGTTATTTATTAGAAAATGCCAGATGACAGTTACAGGCTATTGGAGAGGGAAGCAAAACTCTCATATGCATGTTGTTTACATATGCATCTTGTTTACAAAAACTGAACATCCATCTTCTCCCTGAACGCATCTTCCTGAACTTTCCTGGACTGTTGCTCAGGTCCAAGCAGAGGCTACAAAGCAACTCCACAAATTCCGCAACAGATCTCCTTTTTCAAGAGATGCAAAGCGAATTTACAAGAAGAAAATATACTACTCGCATGCCTCCCCATCAGTAGTATCACCGTTACACCTGTACTTCTAGCTGAAGCGGAGGTTTACTGTGTTCCTCACTTATATAACTGGACCAGTATTTTTAAATTGCGCATGCGAGAGAGGTCGGATGCATGGTTCAACTGTTCGTTACGAAGTGAGTTCTAGTGTGCTTCCTTATCGTGTCGTCTAGTCTCACATTCGTAGATCAGAATGTACGAATGAAAAACGACACTCTGACACAGCGTGTTGTAAAATTTCTCTATCATTTTGATAGTACTGATTGGGGATCCTCCAACAGCCATCCGAAACCGCGATTACTCGACCGCACAATAACTTATATTTTCAAGCTGTTGAACTGTTTGGTCCAACCGTTTGTGGGGTCACCTGGTTTGACAAGGGCTAGGAGTAAAACAAGGTGTCATGGAGAAGTGCAACGAGGCAACGCATCGTGAAGACACGTTGGCTGAAGCATACTTCCATACTGTCTCGAAGCGCACCGGGAAACTTACTTTGAAACTACACGTTATCTGGGATGGCAACTTACTAGCAGACCGTCAGTAGAGCAGTGCCAGACGGCCTGGAAAGCTTTGTTTGTTCTGTCGATGAGTTGGTCCACCTTTTGCGGGAAAAAATGCAAACCGATGAGTAATTTACTGATTGCAATACCTCATCTTTAAGGTTCACGGTGTACGATTGGATGCCGGTGAATTGAATCCAAGTCACGCCAACCCGCCTTCCTTTTGTATCGAAGTTTGCTATCGCTGCGAGACTTCACCAACGCTAATTTTTTTCCGAAAGGTTATCCATATGTATGGGGGCTTGCTATACGGACATTCCCGGTTTGACGTCAGTCTCTGCAGTTGTCTTCAAAAACCTCAAACGGACTGCTGTACAAACGCCGTCCAGCGTCTCAGATGGATCGATATTCGGATTACTTCTCCCTGACACAATAAGAAATCTCCGACAATTCTGTTGGGCGGAACTCCACACAGATCCCTCTTTACCGCTCGCAGTCAGGTTCTGCTACGGCCGAGAAATCCAGCCCACGCAAGATTGGTCGAAAATTCGGGACGATTGCTTGCCAATGTCGCATTCAGAATGCGTCATAATTTCCCGAAAGTTATTGCCGCTTACGCTATATATATGAAGCGCTGTACAGGTGTTCCTGACTTGTTTTTGGGCGTTAATATACCTTTTGCACATTTGGTGGTTGTTTTGATGTGAACGCTGGCTTGGTAGGTTCAGACCGAGAACTAAGCTGAGAAAAATATCGTTACTGCAAATGCGCTACCGCGTTCGCCCTGCCAACCTCATGGTTACCATCATAACTGAATGACACTCGGGGTGAAACACGACCGTTTGACTCCACTTATGGAGAGTTTAGTGCCAAAGTAGGAAACAAGATTACTGATTTAATCGAAGGGACTATGCATGCTTGATGAGCTTCGATATAACAAAGCAGGACATGAACCGCTGAATATTTTCTTTAGCCTCGTATGTGTATCCGAAAAGCTTTTTTCAACCAAAATTTACACATGAAAATTAACTAGGACTGTTGGTACCACTTGGGGCATATTGCTCAGTTTCTCCAGCCTTGTTTAAATTGACATACTATTGTAAAGTGAACCGAATGCAGGCGACTGTTCCAGTGTAACGAAGGATACTACTGATGGGACATGTGAGTAATACGTTCTCTCGTAAACCCACTTCGCGTCCCTTGAGATCTATTACGGAATTTATGGAGTCGCTTTTGCTTGGATTTGAGCAACAGTCAATGAATAACCGGGGAAGTACAGGAAGACGCGTTCAAGGAGAAGAGGGATATTCAGTTTTTGTAAACAAGATGCATATGAGAGTTGTGCTCCCATGTCCGATAATCTGTTACTGTTCATTTGGAGTCTTCTGATAAGTAACACCGCTGCGAGGGCCTTCTTTTCACCAGTAATGGCGCACCTCTGTTAGGATTTTTCTGACTTCCAGGATCCTTGATTTTCAAAATGTACTAGTGCTCGTTCTGTCTTCAAAATTTGCATCTAAAACCATTCTGTTATTCCGTTGCTTTCCGTTGAATACCTTGGCGTGTAAAGACAAATTGTGCAGAATTTTGTCCGGGCCATCTGTAACCGTAGTGAGCTCATCAAATCGGTGGATAACATAAGGAGACATGAAACCTCGTTTTAATTGGGTTGATAGTACTTAGTATGGGACATTCTGTAACCGGTCTTTTAGCCCTCTTCGCAGTCTCTTCAGATGGTGCTTACAAAAACGGAAAAAACAAGGCTCAGGAATCGATATTAGACCAATTTATCTATTATTTCTACCCCAGTCCTGTTGGAATTAAGGCCACCAAGTGGGATGCAGGGTATTCAGTGCGTTCCACCAGGTTGATAGTTGCATCTCCTCCCTTCAGTGTCAAGTAATCCCCCTGACATCTTCCGAAGTGATTAGCACATCCTATCAGTTTATTGAAGGAATAATTTGCTGACAAAAAACTGGCCACATGAGTCATTTGTCTTTATTTCTCAGATATTCCGCCGGAACAGGATACGACAAAATTAACGGTCAAGTAAGAAGAAACTCGCTCTCTAATTTCGGGATTTTTCGTCAAAATAAACTGTGACTGAGTAGTATTGTTATCTCACATCGACGATTGCTTTGATGAAGTCGAACTTAGCAGTACTGATCTGCCCCGAACGAAGGCAGGTGCTAGGAAAGTCACCCAAATGAGCAAACGTACTGTAGACACTAGTACAATTACGCATAATTATCATCGGTTGTCAGACTTTATACGTTTCTCTGGTCGCCATACGCAACTCTGCGTTTTCAGTGGTATTACCATAATTGATTGAGTTTGAATGTATCAAACATCAGAATCGAACGCCACACCACGTAGCCAGTGAATCTCATTCAAAAGCGAAATTGATCGTTCTCTGTGAGTACTATTCAGACGGAATTCTTTCGGCACTTCAACCCCGATCAATAAAAAAACCGGATGGTAGCACGATGGGAAGGGAAAGGGCTAGTGTTGACTGATTAAAGTTCGAACTGGTGATCCACCACACATTGTTGGCTAACGTTTTGTGGAACGGAATTGAAACGAATGGACGTCGTGTTCTTAGATAGACAACGCACTTAGGTTTAGTAGACTACCATGAGCCGTAAACGTGACATTAAACTTTTTGATGAAATGTTACAGTCTGTCCCAATTTACTTCCGAACAAATTGGATGCACAACCATAATCTCAACCCCCAAACTAGTTCTCCATTGCTGAACTGATCTACCGGAAATTTAAACGAATGACTTGTTTCGATTTACTTATCGATCTGGTTGGTGCTTTGCATGGCTGGCCTATGCAAACAATGTGTTGTAGCAGTTCAGCACATTTGATGGAAATGCAATCAAATGTACACACACACACACACACACAGAGGGCACAAAAACTCTGAGGGGTTTATGTAAAACAGGTACTTCATTCTTCCTTTGTTGTTAACTGAAACGACCTAGTACGACCTGCTGGTGGTCTCACAGTGATTTGACGTCTTACTAGCAACTTTGGGCTTCAAACAGTGTTGGGAATTTGGTGTTCTGAGGTTTCTGGATATAAATAGGCAAACAAAGAATTTGTTTCAGTATGTGACTTGCATGTTCTTCGACTGGACCTTGTTGTCATGAGGTGTTAACTCTTATTTTGGTCATTAGGTGTCACTTTTAGACTAATGGCCTCGTGGTGCTCGAACTGGCCTATTCGACGTTGAGTTGGTTGGACCAATCACCATAACCCATCTAAATCTAAGGCTTAATCTTTCTCAAATACGTCGAAAAGCTCGGATGAAAAATCATTATAGTATTTGTGTAACAACGAGTAGGTCTAAGCAATACGTTACTGCGTAACAGTTCCCTTGCCCTAGAGTTTACCAAATCAGGACGTTTCTCACAAACTTTGATTAGTTCTACATTCAGATGACTCTAGGAGCTTTCCTCCTTTATGAGTGCAAAACAATGCAACATGTGCATTAGGAAACCGTGCAGAAATAAGCCATACAACAGTGAGGAAGTCAGTTACGAACTGTAAGATACTACTTGATTGTAGTTGCCGCTTGGTCAGCAAGTCTATCTCTCTAGGTGGGGCGAACGAACAACATATACTACCTATATCCGTCCATTTGCTTTTGAGGTCTACCTTGTCCTTGCCTTCTACTCTTCGTTACCCTTTGGTTCGTAGTTGATGGGTTAACTTACACTAGTATCATGAGCAATTAAGCCTTTGCCTCTTACTGGGAAACAACCAAGTGAGACATAGTTTGGGTTACAAAAAATCCCCAAAGACGACCTGAAATTGGGATCAAGGAGGACCATTTGACGCTCATTCACGGAAAGACCGTCAATCCCAAAGATTTTCAACAGATAGCTCTCTCAGAAGTATGAGTTGTTGAGAACTCGTCACAACAGGGAGCAAATCGTGTGAGTGCACCACTGTGTATAATCATCTAGCGTATTTTGAACGGCTATTGCTGTCAAGGAGGGTTAAAATGTTTGCCTAGAAAACATCTTGAAGAAGCCATTTTACTCCTAGCCCCCCATGGAAGGCATACTGCATGTTGTGTATCTTCGTCCAACTTTATCGGAACAGTTTTCCGAGGTTGACCATGCCTGTCGTGAGTAGAACGCTGCACTAGAATCCACGTGTCTAGGTAAAATCCCCGGGGTGCTGTGGGGAAAGGAATCGGGTAAGGCTGATCACTGTCGCATATATGCACTGACCTATTCCTAGCATGTTGAAGAGAAATCCCATTTACCGTCTTTTGTAAGCCTGTTGTTAAACTGACGCCTTTCTCACTTTCTTTTGACTAAACCTGATTCCATTGCAGTAGTAATTTTTCGTGTGTTTTCACTGCTGTTACTTTTGGCAGTTGTTGATGGACAGCCGGATGAGTTCCGACAGATTTATCCCCTATCCAAAACAGCACTTCCCCACACGGTTCCTCATGATTCCACTCGAGCAAAGACTTCAAGAATATCGTCAAGTCTAGTGGAACTGTACGGCGGTTCCTATACTTTCTTTTGACTGCTCACATCATAATGGTTACAACAACGCAGGGATGAATCGGTTCCGTAGCTTATATTGGGGCGCTGACAGCCCACGATTCACTCTTTGTTTTGTCATCAAGTAAGCACTTCAATAAATCCAGTCTTTGGTATGTCCAGTAGTTAGTATATTACTTCTAACTCAGAGAAGACCCGACCCACTTACTTTCTTACGCTTTTTCTTATTAAATTTTTCGTCTGGTCCAATTCGTTTCGCGCAAAAGCTATTGATTGGTGAACAGTGAGGTGATTCTTACAAGCGTCGGAAAGACACTGGATAGAATCTGTTAAAACTCATCACGGAAGGAACTCAGAAAAGGCAGATCGAAAAGTTTCCGAAGCAAGTCTCTAAGGGAACTGTACACCCGGCACAAGTACAAATGTAAAGCAACTTGCGTACACGGATCATCATAGCATGTTTCTGGGTATCGATTCTCCCAATCGATATACGAAACTTTTATTTGCCAATAATTCCACGTTATCAGTGTCAGTGAATTGAGCGATTCAATTTGGAAATTAATAACAACAGTCTACTGAAATTGAGAGGTCAGAGGATCGAAGACAGGTCACTTTTACTAGAGGTGATTGGACGTAAGAGTTGAATAGCAAATTGGCCAAAACAAATTCAAAGTACATGAGACAGAATCGAGATAAGTTGAACACCCCGCTCCTCTATCAGCATTCACCCAAGTACGTTGCCTATCTTTTTTCGCAGAAACTTGAAGTGGACTTTTCTCATGGCAGTGGCTTCGTAATACGTATGTACTAGTGTGAGAAATACGTTTTGCATTCATGTGCCATTTTCAAACTACCCTTGTGAAAGTGGATACTACCGATAGAGCACGCGAGTAGTATGTTTTCTCGTAAATCCGCCTCATGTCTCTTGGGCACTGAGATCTGTTACGGAGTTTGTGGAGTCGCGTTTACTCGTAGTTGAGCAACAATCAGTGAATATCCAGGAAAGTTCAGGAAGACGGGTTCAAGGTGAAGATGGATGTTTTACTTCCCTGTCCAATAGTTAGTAACTGTTCACTTAGCATTTTCTAATAAATAACTCGCAGCGAAGGCATTCTTCCTTTCATCCGGTGGTGCCCACATGAGTGGTCTGGCTAAAACTGCTCCTAAGGGTTGCACCTTCCTGGTTCAGTTGGAGGGCCGAACAAGCTGATTCGGACACCACAGCAAACAGAGACTGCAAGTTTTCGGTAAGATAGACCGGATTAAACCTTAATTCAGCAAGATAAATGTTACATCAAGACAACCGATCTAGACCTTTCAGTTAACTGCGCTATCAAGCTTAGCCACAAGTAGGTTTGTAGTGATACAAACTTTGAAAGCCAGTACTGAGACAGCCAGGAATATTTATACATCACGTGCTGACTAACCAGTACTATTCTTCAGGATATGTTTACAACCACTCGGTTCTTTTTTTTGCGTAGAAAACCAGCGGTTCACCCCATCAGCCACCTGGTTTCACACTTGGTTTTTGGGGTCAGATACAATAAACACGATGTATAAAGCATTCTTTGAATGCAAGACCCTGATATGGCCATTCCTGAGCGGGGATGAATTAGCTTCTTGTTCATGAATATGATGGATCTTGTTCTTTAGAAGAGAAGTATGCTACCAAGAGGTAAAATTCTAATGTCGGCTAGCAAAATACATCCATTGCATACCAATTTGGTTTTGACCAGAGACTTACCAGCTGAATCTCTTGTTTGTGATGTTTCAGCAACCTTATGAGTAGTACATTACACCAAGTTTCGGCTAACTTGTCTTCAGTTGGGGATACGTGCTCTTTAGACTCCACGCGTTGTAAGCCATCACATTGCAGAATATACTGAACGGAGTTTACTTCGGCCAGGTGAGCTGTCCTAATCGGTACTCGGTGTAGCAACAAAAACTGTTTACGAAAGTTGAGCCTACTGGTGTGCGTGACTAAGCATAAATGGGGACATGTTACACCGTTTAAGAAGTGACCGGCGAGAATGCAGAATTCGAGACGCATAACCTCATAATAAAATCGCTTTTCTATCGCAGAATCTCGCCTTCTGTGATCCATAGCTCACATAACGTGTTTTTTATTCCAATTTGCGATAGTTACTACTTGATTTTTTCTCCTCTAGTCCACTCATAAAGCAGGGCGCGGTGGGTAGATTTTGGATCTCGATGAGCCGAATTTCGAACGCAGATCTTCACTGAACTGAATACATTTGTAAGCCAGTGTGTGTTTGGCACAGATGCTTTATTTTTCATTCATCGACCATTGTGTACGTACTATGAGAACATTCTGGCACGGATTGAGCAAAAGTTTGCAAACATCACACTCGAGCCGTTTAGGTTTTACGTCATCTCCCGGCTAGTCAGATTGGGTACTTTGTGCATTCACATTTTCTCTCGCTCAGGATTCCAAAACGCGTATCAGATGTCAGGTTAGACGTATGGTTCCCACATATGACTGTTTTCTGATTTGGTTTCAGTAAAATTTGCATAGAGTGTCGGTTCCAGAGTTATGAGCTCAAAAGCGACCCAGAAAGCATTCATTCCTCGACGGTCTTACTAGCTTTTTGCAGTTAAACTAAGCGCTATGCATAGCTGGTTGTGTTCAACATGCAGCCAGGCGTATACTGAAGCGAATAGTTGCAATGCACACAAAAAAAGACAGTAACATTTTTAGCCTTATATGGTCAGATAGCGTTCGATTTACCTCTGAGCGAATAACACTGCATTTGGACAAAAGGGGTGCTGTCAAAAGCCACTACAATGCTCAAATTATAGTCGTAACCGTTGGGTGGACAACTAAGCAGTTGAAGCCGGCAACACAAACTGAAACTAGCGCGGTGGCTCCCAGCACTCATGAGTTCAGTTGTATAATCAGTTCACTGCATCAGTGACCGTCTTCGCACGCCTGCCGTGTGCGTATTAAATCTGCTAAACAAATGGTTGTTTAGACTTCTCATGAGATTGATGAAACCTTTTCGACAGCCTACGACCGGTTTCGTCCTTCTTCGGATTCATCAGACGAGAGACCTCCGTCCAGTTTGGGTTCAAGTGGAACCCAAGGTTGACGGGAACTCAAGGACAGAGTCTGCCTGATAGGCTCAAAATGGAAGGGCGAAACCAGTAGTGAGCTGCCAAACAGTTTTTAGCAACCGTATGAGTACTGCGATTCCTCAAATATCGTACCAACTGAAACACAAGGCGGGTGAAAAATAACTTCACGAGCGAGAAATTCCGCAGGATTCCGTTTAGTCGTTCGTAAAAACCAGATAAGTGTGCTAACAAGAGAGCAGTTGTTGTTCTACCTCGCTTTTTGTCTATCTACCCGCCGGTTGTCCCTCGACAGCCCGTGAAATCTTTCCAGCAGAGACGGATAAACACAGTTTGAACAATAAAGAGTGGGACAGAAAATTACCGTTAGAGGGCCAATAAATGGTTGCAGGTATTCCGCAGAGTTCACTGTGCTTCCGAGACCAATGCAGTACAGCAACGCGGCCAGCATCTGATAAACAGTCTCCTGAATGAAGCAGATAAAGGGAGAAGTGTGTAAGTTGATCACGAAATTATCGAAATAAAATGCCACTAGTAACGAACCGAGACATCGGTGTGTTGGCTTTCCGACATCTGAGAGCTTGGCAAGAACCCACAGGCAAGTCATATGATTATTGTCAAGGATTAACAAACAAACCATACTCGATAATTTTTCTAATATCACTACTAACCAAACGAATGACAGACAAGAAACAGTTTGATCTCTGAATCAATCACAGAACCTTTAGCTCACTGAAACCCATCAAAGATCAGATTAGGTAACGTAGGAACACGGCAATCAGGAAACATGATAGAAGATTCAAAAAAGCTGCAACTGACTTGTATTCAAGTATAATTCAAGTAGTATTGTAGAAATCCTTGAAAAATGGTCGCCTCAAGCTGTTTATTGACTTTGAAAGCTTTCACAACTTACAATAATCTTCGTAATTGACCATCCGTCGATAGGTCGAGAAGTGGCAAATCCGTATACGAAGAGAAATGCGATGTCTCCCAAAGAGAACAGGGCGGCGATTGTGATCAGGTATTGGAGAAATGCCTCATTGTAACCTCGACCGGCCAAAGCAACGCAGATTATACCGATGATCTGAACGGAAAGAAGGAAGAAATCTAGGGTATAATAACTGAGGTGAGTCTTGTCATTGGCCTTGTGGGTGGAGTTACAAATACTTTGAGTGCCAACTAATGTGGCATTAGGATACTGTCAGTGCGGAGTGATGTTCCAGGTAACTTCGTTCCTGTTTTCAGAATTATCGCGTGACACACGTAAGGTTTTATCGGAGTGATTCATACAGTCATAAGGCAGCTAGCTAACCCAATGTACGATATAGCCATCCACTGAATCAAGCATATTAGCTTCAGAGTACGTCTGAAGGCTTCTACCATTCTCGCGTGTTCAGTACGTAGATTTTGAAACAGAACTAGCTACGGTTCGTTGTTGTCCATTTCGCAACGTCAGTCAAGGTCACGAGGTCTTCAAAAATAATTTTGAACTGCTGCCTCGCCTCACCATTCTGCCCAGAAGACAGATAAATCGATAATTGCACATCCGACTGGGCCGACTAGGTTGTTTTCAACTCTCATCTGGTCAGTGGCTGGCTTGTACAGAGCCTATATAAATCAAATGAAAAGACTGTCTTTCCAACTGTTTCATCGGTCCCTTTTTCCAGCACCTCAAAAAACCAATCGCCCTTCAATGATAAGTGAAAACAAACAGCTTTTCTTGACACAGAGAACATGACCTGTTACGCCTGTGCCTCATTTCCGGCCAGGGGAGTGCTTACAAACACTTCAGAAGAAGTTCATTGAGTCCCATTTAGTTGTGTTCTATACAGGCCCACCACTAATCGGGTAACAGCTAAAACACGATGTTCATAATGGGGACCACTCTGACGTATAAATGCATCCGTTTCAGATTAATGAGCTAGTTATATCGGCTGAAAAATGAGGCAGCTCTCCAAGGCAAGTCCAAACCAAATAGCTTTCAAAATGAACATCTCCATACTTAAACTCCGTACACCAGGCATAGAGCGAGATAAATCAATGGTTAGAAAGTGAACTTACTGACCGGAAGGTTAGGGTTCGAACCCAACCTCTACCCGACATCTCTTGCTTAGGCTTGGGCAACCTGGCAGTATCCAAGCCCTCGTGCTTCCTTTGGATGGCATGGCAGTTAGGCAACGAAAAGTTATTACAGCTGAACGATTATCCTATTTTTTGTCATTTTTAGGCATACAGCGTCCTTACAAAAAACGCACCGCTCTTTGCAACTACTTACAGGATACTATCAAAGCTTGTTCAAGCTGACAACCCCTGTCCACTGTGAGCACTGGAGTAGCAAAACTAACGCCTACTTCCCACAAATTTGGCTTTGTGATTCATGAAATCAAATATGCTTCAGTATTGCATATTCCAACCACTCTGTCCTAGCCTTGCAATCTAGACCACAGTATTTTGCCATAAATCGCAAAAACCGCCACATAATACAAAAAAATTAGCGGCTCCAAAATGCTGGCCATTGATGTCAATATATTTGTACGATCCTGTGCCAAGGTCGTGATCTCCAGACGAGGAATTGGTTCATTATCCTAAATGCACGATCTAGAAGTCCCATCTGACAGGTAACGTGTAGTCCGATTTCAACAATGGACGGTCAGTAGAAGTTACGGTGAAACCGAATTTTACGAACATCACAAACGAGAGATTCAGCTGGGTTCCAGGTGAGTCTCTTGAAAAACCAAATTAGTTTGCAAATGAGTATATATTCGCTAATCTCGTGCAATTTGGTTTCAAGTAGAACATAAGGTTGATGGAAACCCGGGGACTGCGCCTACCTGATGAGCCCCAAGTGGAAGGGCGAAACCGGTCGTGGGCTGTCGACGGATTTTCAGCAACTTTATGAGTAGCACATTATAAAGATATGAGAATTTTACGAACTTCACCAGCGTTTGTTCATTAGTCGCAATTAGACAGCAAACAGTATACTGAATCAGACGTCGACAGATAGTATAGATAGGTAAACCGTGGTCCTATAAGAAATTAACAGTAAATAATGAGCAGAATTAAAGGAAAGCTTACGGAACCTTGGGCAGTTAGCAGCAAAGGATAGCACAGAAAGGGCAGTGTGCTATCGGACAAACTAAACGGGAAAAATGCTGTGGAGTTCAGAGGGGGACAAAATGTTAAACAAAAAACTCAGAAATGAATGTGAATAAATCGAGTCATGAAAACAGTTAACATAGAAAAAACAGCTAATATACAATCGACTTTGTATGAAATAGAATAGTTCAGTCTTGAAACTTGAGCGGAAGGGTAAAGAATTAGTCTGAGGAATAGGGAAACATAAATAATTACGTCGCGTAATTGACAATATCGATAATTCTTCTTAACTTTGGTCCAAAAACCCTAAGAATTTATCAGCAGTTCGAAGGCGTGAACTCAGTGTGAATCTATGTGCCAGATCTGGAATTTCATAACTGAACACGACCTGACAACCAACCACATCTAAGCGACCTTGGTCATATTGTCCCATTTATTTAGGGTTGGAAAAGAGAAACACAATAACCAGAGGGAGCCGCTAGCGAATGGATCATCTACATACGGATGGGAGAGAGTTAACGGGACAGATGTACGAGAACTCAGTTGTGAGACCCTTTTCATAATGTCATGTGGAAATTGAGCGAAAACACAACATCCCAGTAATGAAGCAACTTGGAAAGTTGAAGACAAACACACGACAAATATACACAGCATCTTTCAGCTAAAACAGTTATGTCGTACGTATTCTGGC